ATATCCAACATAAGATAAGTAAGCACCCATCTCGTCTCAATTTCTCAACAATCATAACATATAAACATAAAGAAATCTCTACTCAATGATTTCTTAAACCTTAATTGGGTTGGATTTATTTACCTTATACTTGATAGTCCTCATAAGGCTCTCTACACTTGTTGGACTCAAACTTTTCTTTATTTCCTAAGCATAAACTTAGTAAGTATTCAACTCTTACCCTAAGCATAAACTTAGTAAGTTTCAACTCTTACACAATAAATTTCATATCTAGAGCAAGGATTCTACCTTATTGCTTAGGTAACTTCTTAATTTCCAACCAAAGCCTTAAAAAACTTGGAAGGTTGATGAAGAGTGAGAAAATGAAGGTGGAAGAAGCAGTGGAAGAAGAGAAATGAAAGGGTTTATAAGACTAAACTCTTATTATCTCATATTAAGCACTCTTTCCCATTTTGCCTCACACTTTCTTAAAAATTCCATCTTTGAACTTTAATTCTTAGCACTCACACCCTCAACTCCAATGTATTCTCCATGAAATTTTCTTACATTTCACTCCCACTTTTCCTGCTAATTAGGGGTAGAATGGTCACTTTGCCCCTATGAAAAATTCTCTAGAAACATCGCCAAACATTTCAGTCGGCTCTTTGCCGCAGTGAAGGCTTTTTCTTGCCCCGGCGAAAAATTCTAAAACTTGCGGGTGCATGGTGAAGATTCTTCTTCGCCCCGGCAAATTCTGTAACTCAAATTTTCGCCAACTTTACCAATTTCAAGGCAACCACTCAACCTAACCAAGATACTAATTCAACTAAGGACCAACCAAACATATAACAACATACAAGCTTAATAAGGGCAAACCGATCAACATATAGGCAATACAACATATTTAGCTACGTACCTCATGTGGGCGTTACAAAGAGAGATGATTTCTTGACCTTATCAAATTAAGTTTAATAACTTAAAAGATTTGGAATCTTGGTAGGACACTAAGAATTATTTTTGGGACATAATCCCTTGTGAAAGAGATATGATTTCTTGACCTTATCAGATCAAGTTTGATAGTTTGGTAGATTTGGATGTTAGTAGAAGAGGAAATAGCATGGGATTTTGATTTCCTATTTATAGACGTGGTAGGCTAATGGGCTAAAACCTCAGTTTAGCTTAACTTATAGGATAGTCCAACTCATAGAGTGGGTAGTTCACAAGTGATTTAAGCGTCGGCCACATGGGATTGGGTTGAGGCCTTGGGCAGTGACATGTTTATTTTGTTATTGGGTCTCCTTAAGCCTAAGACGATTCTTGGCCTTACAGTTCGCCCCCACTTCTAAGTTAAAAAGTATTTAGCTTAGAGAGTTGATTTAATCAAATGAGTGCAGACTGAGTGGATTAGTGATAGCAGCTCGTTAGGTCGGATAGCGTTGTGTGGATTCGGTCGATGACTTGTCGATTTGAGATGCAAGTTCAATCGGTCTGGGTTGACTGAATGTGTTAATCTATAAATCGGTTTGGGTCGATCGAAGGGTTTCTACTTATGAATCGGTCTGGGCTGATCGAAAGTGTAAACTTGTGAATCAGTTTAGGATCGAAGGTGTAAACTTGTGAATTTGTCTAGGCCGATCGAAGGTGTAAACTCATGAATCGTCTGAGTTGATCTAGTGGTGTAAACTCATGAATTGGTCGGGTCGATTGAAGGTGTAAACTCATGAAGCGTCTGAGCCGATTGAAGGTGTAAACTCATGAATCGGTCTAGGCGATGAAGGGTAGACTCATGAGCCGGTCTGGGCTGATCGAAGGTGTAAACTTATGAATTGGTCTGCACCAATCAAAGGTGTAAACTCATGAATTGGTCTATGCGATCAAAGGTGTAAACTCATGAATCAGTCTGGGCCGATCGAAGGTGTAAACTCATGAATCGGTTGAACTGATCGAAGGTGAAAACTCATGAATCGGTCTGGGCTGACGAATGAATCGGTCTAAGCCATCAAAGGTGTAAACTCATGAATCGGTCTGGGCTAATCGAAGTTGTAAACTTATGAATCGGTCTGAGTCGATTGAAGGTGTAAACTCATGATCGGTTGATCCAATTGAAGGTATAAGCTCATGAATCGGTCTGAGCCGATCGAAAGTGAAACTCATGAATTGGTTTGGCCGACGAAGGTGTAAATGCCAAGTGAAGCTTGTATGGAGCTTACAGTCGAGTCGGCGTAACCGACTTGTAGTTGAAAACATTTGTTGAGAGTGGAGTAGTGACATGCATGTTTTAAGCAAATAGCCGAATGGAGAGTCAATAGCATGATGTGCATGTGTTATGGACTGAATGAGAGTGAGCTAAATGGAAAAGGGCTGCATGTTTAAGTAAGGGTTGAATAGAGAAAGATTTAACCAATAGAGTGGTAGTTAAGGAGATAATGACACATACCTTTCCCCTTCAAGTGTTGCCGCCGATGCTTGTTGGAGAGGGGAGAGGGGGTGTTACTTTCTATGTCAAAGCTGAACCAGTTGAAGTTGAGTGGGCACGTGATCACTTGGACTGAACCGAATGGGCACGTTGATATTGTATGTGCAGACCCAAATATCATTGAGTGGACTACTCATGTGTTTAGTGGTGCTGAGTTGCAATGGGGAGTGGAAAGTTTGCAAACAATAGGGAGCGTGAGGGCTTTTGTGATAGGTGTGCTGGAGATTGTGATGTGAAGTGGTGTTTGAGTTGATATGTATTGGTTGGGAAGGGGCGATGGTTCGAGTTTGGGTTTTGTAATACGGTGAGGTAAGAAGATTAGGCGAGAGTGGGGCGTCGTCACTTAAGCAGATTTGTTTGGGGGGTTTCTCTTCGTGTTTAGTATATGCTTTGGGTGTTTTAAGAGGATTACTGCTGTGTTTTTAGGATTTAACTGTGTGATTAGAGAAGTTGTTAGGGCGATTTTAGGAGAACAGGTGGACGGGTTTTGGGTTTCAAAGTGGTGGAAAATCTTTGTGAAGTTGAATTGGGATTGGATCAAGTGGTTGAGTTTGAGTTACCTTCTAATGGAATGGAGGTCTTGGAGATGCTGGTATATTGCGGCATCTCTTGAAGAACAAATTGACGGTTTATGGGGGTGATGCATTGCAAAGCTCTAATGATGGTGGCGGACCACCTGGTTGTTTGATGATTGAAGTGAAAAGGCGCGTGTAGAGAGATTAGAGACAGAAACTATTGCCTTATCTAAACAGAGTATTAGAAAGAGAGATGTTGAAGCAAAGTCAATAAATCAAGTGGTGTTTAGGAACACCACTTTAAACCTTGACACATTATTCTATTATTAATTTAGAACAATAATAGAGCTTCAAGGTCTTATACTACCCGCTAAATGGATATAATATAAATAAATTACGATAGTCGAATAGATATAATATGGCATGTGAATAGATAAAACAAACGAAGAAAATAAAGAAAAAAATTCTTATCGAGATGGGATTTTCTGATTAACATTGTCAGTCAAAAAGAGTCCGTGTGGCCTCCCATGTTGTAAGTTGTCGTTGACAGATGATGTCAGGGCCCACGGGGGCGCCGAACTGTAGATGCAAAAATCTACCGTTATGAAAATAGGGTCTGATCCCGTGAGGTTGAGGCCACTGACAATCCGCTGACTGCACACAGTGAAGGATAGGGTGAAGCTTCCAGAAAACACTGAGATGGTGTTTGCTCGCTCAAGTCAGCAAGGCCGAAGAAAGAGATTATTGATAAAATTAAGGAGATGAAGAATTATCAGGAGTTTGTCGGGAGCTAGGACTACGGTAGAGGCTTCGGGTTCTTGAGAACAAGAACTTTAAGGAAATAGATGGTTTTGTAGTGTAGATTGATTATGGAGATTATATACTGAATGAGAGGGCAAATCTGAGAATTAATTAATTTTGACTACTAATTATAAATCGAACCATAATTAATTTCATTTTTAAAGACATGGCCAAGATTAGTTACAATTGATAATAGTTGTCAATGAAATTTAAACAGCAATATTATATTGGGTTAAGAACGTAAACATGGTTAAGAACCCCAATTCAAATCGAAAATGAGAGATCGTTCGCAATTCAGGAGAATGGAAACCCAAACCCAAAAAAACATCAATTACCAAGAAAGCCTAAAAAATAATAAAAAATCAAAAGAATACGAGAGAAAATTACAGAAAAAGATTAAAAATAATGAAACTTACCAACCGAAACAAAGGATCTTGATTGATTGTAGTTGACACAGACCCTTTAATTGACTAAGACCAGGTATGTAGGTTCCAAGGAATAAGCCCAAATTGATCTTGCAGCAGATAAAGTTTTATCATTTTTTAATGTAATAAGAACAGGAAGTGAAAAAGGGGGTAAATTGATTTTAAAAAAATTAATAATATGATAAATTATGGCACATTGTTTTCAGGAAAGGATCTAAAAACCACCAAACTCAATACTACTTTTCGCGCTACAGCCTACAAGTACAAAATAACAAAGCGGTTTTCAGACAGGACTAAAAGACTTTAGAAAGTCAACAGAAGTTCAGTCGGTGGACCGTTTTGCCTCTACAATTTGTTTATTGTAATTAATAATTAATAGGATCCTTTTTTTTTTTTTTTTAAATCTCAATTTGAAAACAAAGTTTTTAATTATTGGTAATAAAAGGGGTGAGCATGGATAGGTGGAGAACCAGAACCAGAATCGGAACCGGAATGGAACCTACTTAGAGACACGACACTGAGGTAGATTCCGATCCAATTTGTTAGAATCAACACCGTGCGGTTTCGGTTCCTACATATTTCAGAATTGGATGGAACTTGGGAAAAGAACTTGAAGTGGACACCTTGTTGGAACCTGTTTGTGTTTGGTTTTAATTAAGAAATTTATGTAAATTATGATGAATTGATTGAATTAAAGTTGTCTAGAGATTAGAGGATTTATGAGTCACATTGGACATAAATGAATGAGTAATCAAAAGTTGAAACTACTAAATGTAGGTTTTCTTAATTTGTTAGTGGTGTATTTTAAATCTTTTGCTGATTTCTGGCATGTCTTCTTGTCATCAGAAATGTTACAGCTGCAGATATTACCACAGCACTGGCAATGGCTGCTACTACAATTGCTGCCAAAACACCTTTACTAATACCTGTCCTTTGAGTCTCAGGATTTACTGTAGCAGTGAAGAAATCATAAGTATAAATTAAGACAGCATTTATCATTGCAACATGCAGAAAGGCAATTAAATATAAACAGAACTACTAAATCTATCAATTCCAAGCTCAGTGTATCCATAGTAAAGTCTACTTAAGGCTAAAGTTTTTTTTAGAACAAATTAAATAGCAATGGCAGGCTTAGATACATACAACTGGCATAAGGTCCCAGGAGAGTGAAGTTGAGCAGCTCATAAGGTCCAAATAGGTCATCACCAGGAAATTTCCAGGATGTAAATATGTCTCTAATTCGCTGCACCTCACTTGTATTAAACGTACTTGAGTTGGCATGAGGAAACAGCTTCAAATACATCCTTAGACGAGGTCCTTTCTCCCAAGCAATTGAATCAACTGATATTTGATAAATGCTCAAGTTGAGAGAACTAGTCACGTATGCTTCAAAAAGGTTGGCATATGGATCGAAATAAGAGAAACTAGGACTTTTCAGCCGGTATGCAATTCTCAGAGGTGCTGCACAGCTACATAAATCCCCAGATGCTGGGACATATTCGTAGAAATTATCTGTAGGACATGAGTGAATAGGACATTTTGAATTGGTGGAATTTGTAATTGTCTCATCGTCTTCTGGTTCAGAATCACAGAATTGGTCTATGTTTGGTATGTTTGCACTTGTGCAGATAGGATTGCCGCCGAGCCTAAAAATAAGCCGCTAATATGGTAAGAAATGAGTGGCAAAATTAAGGACCAATATGCAGTATAGCTTTTCCATTAATAAAGTATTTGTAGTTTTCATGATGACCAGAATAACTGGAAAGAAAGTAGAAGATTAAACAGTAAAAAGGACAAAAATCAATAAACAAATACACTATAAATTTTCTCCATGCATTTGCATGCCGTTTCTAGGACATTGAATAGAAATCTAACCACTATACAGAGGCATAAGTTTATAAATTTAGCTATTTAAGCAGATTTTATATTAGATTGTTAGTAGACAAACTGAGTCCTTGATTGTCGCACATGCAATGCATCAAGATAAAATCACTCAAGTTCAGAATCTTGAAATTGCCATATCATTAGTCTGGTTTTTATGAAAATGTCATACCTGCAAAGTCCAAGATGTCCAACCATGCAAAATCCTCATTCATGCAGTGTAATTAACTAGCAGAACATATAATGATGTATATAATAAGAAAGCAGCATACCTTAGTGTGACATTGTTTGGAGGATCTAGATCTCCTAAAACGCTTGAGAAATTATTGTTCCTCAGATCACTGCATTTTGAATGTACAAAGATAAATGATTGGCATGAGATATGGTTTACAGAGCCAGACTTTTAAAACCGATGAAGCTCACTCCAAAAATTAACAAATAAGAAAACTTAATTCAATTTCAGAATAATGGGTTGTCAATGAGCCGTTGTAAATCAGCAGGGAATCAGTGAAGCATAACAGCAAATAATAACTCAAAGTTTCTTTTTCGAGATCTTACAGTGACAGTCTAGCACTTGAACTCAAGGACATGTTCTGCCATATGCTAGCCGGGATAGAACCATCCAAAAAATTGTTATCAAGTGACCTGAAGTAGAACATAATTTGAAAATCATATTTAGATTAGATAATTCAATCATCATTAAGAAATGGTCTAAATAATAATTCATAACTGTAATTCCAAAACAGGAAATGACAAGGAATAATTAGAAGTAAATATATTCTCACAGTCTCTGAAGAGAAGGAAGATCTGAGAAACTTGCTGGGATGGATCCATTAAGACTGTTTTCCGACAGATCACTGCAATGGCAAAGGTAAAATTACTCTGACATCCTCTCCATTTTACTTATCTATTTAGAACAAAATGAGTGACAAGTTTACGATGCCATTACATACATGGTTGTCATATCATCAGAAAGCTTATTTGATGGTATGGGTCCAGTGAGCTGATTCCCGCTAAGATCCCTGTCACATGAGCCCCGTAACAATTAAATATAAGTTAAATTCGGTAGTTATCTAGAATGGAAATAAATAAATCAAAACTCAAGAGTTAATGCATCCTACTGAAAGTGAAATACGAAAAAATCTGCAACAAAATTTGAACAATACTCAAACTTACAGATAGTAAAGCCTTGGAATCCTGCTAAGATCAGGAACGGCTCCCTGCAAGCTACAATGTCTTAGACTTCTGCCAATTTTGGGAGAGAAAAGTGAAGCACCATCAGCATAGCATATTTTTTATGTATGGTAGAAACAAATTATCATTTTGATGCTGACAACAATAGTGACCAAGCAGTGCTAATTGCAACCTCAAGCATCAAGGTTCTCAAATATCAACCAGGGCCAATATTTGAGCATTGCAGAGGTACTTCAGGTTTCAAACTCAGACTGAAGTTAACTTTCAGTAGATCCTGCTTTTATAATCAATTCATAGAATGTCTTCTTTTGGAGTCCTTACAAGTTACAGTTGTGACCTCTACCAAATCAAGTTGAATTATTGATTCCTGTAACATTTCTAGGTATACTAAAGATGACCAATTAAAGAGACAAAAAGGAATAGAATTTAAAGTAATTATGTGGACCTAATATTCTGATGTTTCATAAAAACCTTCTTTAAAGAGAGTCTCTGAACAAATGGCCGTATTTCTACTAGCTAATTGTCATTATTCGATAGATAAATAAAACAACAACTAAAGCAAGGTGATTGCATGTGCATTCAAAATTAACAATCAAAATTTTTTAAAAAGTTGGTTTGGACTTCTGATTTATTCAAAGTCAAGTATTGTAACTAAAGTATACTGATCTACAATCCATCATCAAACAGCCAAAGATATTGCAACCTCAACTGATTCCCAGTACTGTTTTCTTTCTAAATCCAAGTAAGAGGTCATCTGACTAGATTTATACAATCACAGGTCTTTTAAAAAATATTAGATCTAAAGGCCAAACAACATGCATAATTATCTGTAGAATAATGTAAAAACAGTGCGAAAGGTGAACAGTATTCAGTAGCACTTACAATTTAACTAAGCTGGAAAAGTTTCCATAAGTGGCTGGAATTTCTGTCCCACTAAAGTTATTGTTATCAAGTTGACTGCAGAGAGAAAAAAAGAAGAATAATGTCATAAATAAAATAATTTTCAGTATGATAAAACATGTTGCCTGTACACCTAACCCCATTGCGTGTCCTTAAGGTTATACTTAATCCCCTAGTCTAACTAAGGAGTTTAAAATTCCTACCATCAATGAATCAAATACAATCAAGCCGATATATAGGAATGATGATCAAGTAAAAATAACAATTACGACTATTTGGGGCAGAGGAACATACAGTATGTGCAATGCTGGCAACTCTGAGTATTCTGGTGGGAGATATCCAGTCAAGTTATTATTATCCACAAGCCTGCAAGCATGTGTTAATCAACCACAAATCTCTCATGATCAGATAACAGCTTTTAACACAGAAAAATCGTCCGAACAAGAAAATGTTACAGCAGAAACTATATAATAAAAGCAAAATCTGTATGAACTCACAAGTGAAGAAGTGTGGATAAATTGGAAAGCTCAGGTGGAAGTTGACCAACAATTGAATTGTTGTTCAAGTGACTGCAATATTCAGATATATCAGTAGAAAAAATGAGTGGAACAAATATAACTGCCTTGCCAAATGGAACTGGCCTATGGATTGATGATCCACTTACAAGTGTCTCACACTGGTCAGGTTAGCGAATGATTTTGGTATAGTGCCCGAGATATTGTTCTCGTCTACTTGGAGTCTATTCAAGTTTGAAAGCTTGCCTAGCTCTTCCGGTAAAGATCCTGATAATCTGTTTCCATTCAAGAGTCTGCACACACATGTACATCACGTAATATTAAACCAACACAAAGTATATTGCTTCAAATAGTATCATATTTGGATGTAAATAATTTAATAAACACGTGCATCTATAACTTACAAGAGTACTAAAGATGATATATTCCCTATCTCCTTTGGTATGCTTCCTGTCAGATCATTCCACATGAAATCCCTGCAAGCAGACAAAATCGAGAAAAGCATTCAGCAACACTGCATTGATTAACTTGGAAGATACAAGATATAATTCAGTTTTTCTCAAGATATCAACTTATGTAAATTTTGCCTCACAATATTCGAAGACGAGATAGTTGGCCAAGCTCAGGCGCTAAACTTCCCGAAAGATTCATGTTCAGCAGATGCCTGTATTGAAAATAAGTGTTCAGTATCATTAATTGTCACATCTTTAGAGTTTAAAGATTTGAAAAATCATTGAAAGTAAGATAGCAAGCATGAAAATGGTGAAAAGAGGTATGGAAAGGACATACAGATCCTGAACATGCAAGTAACCATCAGTCTCATCAATTGTGTCAAAACATAAAACTCCAGTCCATTTTAATAGGCATGGATCTCCCTCTTTCCAGTTTCCGAGATTGTTCATAGGATCAATTAATCTGCTCATGACTGCCACCAATGCGCTGACTGCAAATGGACATGAGCAAATATAAAAATCATGGGATAAGGCATCTTCTAAATTCATACAGCCCAACTCCTAAATTCAATTCTCTTTTCATAAATGATTATCCTTGAAATAAGATGTCACACTCACATACACTACTTATAGCAGTATGCCATCTTCTCAGAGCAAAACATTGAACTTCAATAAGACACTTGACACTATTTTACATATTTTCAACCTAAAACAAATGGAATAAACATAAATTACTAGGTTAATTTTTCACTGTTTGCACTTTTTCTCCCGGAAATTTAATGTAGTGCTGTTATATATTTTCAAAATTTGATCTCATCTATCATCTGCTGTAGAATTTGGTCAAGATTTATGGAAGTTAAATTAGAATATTTTAGAAACAAGATATTTCAAGAATAGACAGAACATAATGAAGCAACATATTTATTGGTATGCCTTCAAACATTTGACCGAATAGTGCAGCAAAATTGGCAGCTGCCATTTTCATCTGGTATTCAAGATAAAAAGTGGAATAGTGCAGCAAAATCAAAAAGAAAATTAAGACATATCTGGGAAAAGAAATTGCGTATTATAAATGCATTAAGAACTTCTTTAGATGAGAAAAACTAGATATCAAAACTTAGTAGTGGGAGACATTGAAGAAAACTGAAAAGAAAAAACTATAAACTTGCGGTAAGATTCACCTTCTGAAGGATCTGTAATCTCAGCAACTGCAAAAAGCACCAAGTAACCATACAACACCGCATAAACAAGTCCACAAAATCTCTTCCCCATCATCTTGATAATCTACAAAAGCAAGTGAGCAGAAAGCAGAAATAGCAAATGGTCAATGATAATTTGGCATTAACAGAACATTTACTTCCAACAAAAGAGTGAGCATTTGAACCCCAGAAGAACATTTGGCTGTAGGAAGCATGTTAAAGGGGAAAGTGAACAATCAACTCAAGTTTCCTATCAGAATGCTAAGTCTTATAGAATTACTTAGCTATCATTAGTTGACTTTTCTTCTTCCTAAGTGCAAAATAAAGATAATTCTAGCCAAACATGAATCAATCAAACTAAAAAGTAAAACCCAATAAAACATCTTAAATCCCTGGAAGATAATATCTTACTTGAGAAAGAGTCAATTAAAATATGCGAATCCGAAACCTTCAAGCTTGGAGCCAAAACTCAATCAACTGAAGTCAAGGGGTCCCGTGGGTGTTAAATGCTGAGAGCAAATTAACACAAACCGTGCCACAAAAGTTTCTGATAAAATGTTGTCGTCATGTATATCATCATAGACTTTTCTGAACTGAGGAAAAAAATAGTTTCTGAGATGGCACAGTCGTCATGGTTAGTTCATCTAAAAACCCCAAAAGATTTTAAAACTCTCTGTTTTCTTCATAAAAAAATATGCGACAGAGAAATTACAATAAAATAAGCAACAGCTGGCCCATTTGTTTTCATATTCGCGTGAGAAAAGAGAAGCTTTTGCTTCAGTTTATTTTACTGCTACAATGAATATGGACTTTTTAAGTTTTTATAAGTTTACCTGCTACACAAACCACAAGAACATAAATTATTATGAAAAGTGGAGAGGGACGTATGGCGCGTGGTGTGAACGTGAATCATGAGAGGATCGTACTTTCATTATTTCAGGCATTGGATGTTAAAAGTACAAGTGTTGGGGCCACGTTGGGAGACAATTAACTTTTGTCTCAACGAGACCAAATTACTGAATTAGTCTTCCTGGCGGCTATATAATACAACCATGATTAGCCCAGAAGTGATCTGAAGTGATCAAGGTTGTATTTCTTTATCAGGGCTTTCAATGGAGTAGGTTTCAACTTTCAAGTACTCTATTAATTACGTTGAAAAAGGAAGAAATTGTCAAAGACCAATCCTTCATATTTGGTTCCCAGTAAACTTGATTTGGGTGAACGAGACTCAAATCTATTCGATTAGACTCCCATTGTAACAATCGCTACACATAAAGCAAGGTGGATGTGGGTGTAAAGACTTTTTTCATATCGGAGGAATAACAACTAATTCATTTTTTAGCTACATAGATATGTTGTTACGAAAACTTGCAACAATTAGACAATCAACTACAGTGAGATTGGGTAGTATGTGTGCGTGATTATAAATGATTAGTTAGGAAATTATTGTTGAATCCGTAATGCAAGAATACAAGAGACTTTTAAAATGGTTTGGTGGGTTAGAACCAATGCTATGTCCACTATTATATTATTGTTCATGTTTGCTCTATACCCAAAGTGATTATAAGGAGGAAACATGTAATAACGAGTTAAGACTCTCTCTCGGTGATTTCCTATGCTTGTATGAATAATAATCGATCGATCCCCTAAAACGGAGGTGATACCTCCCTTTTATATACACTGTCTGACAGTGGTTGGTATTATGGGGTTGATGACACGCATAATCCCCCATAATCTAGATCTGAATCAGTTCCCACTCATGCTTAAATATGAACACTTATACTTAGTACTGATGAGTTTGTTGGAGAAGTTATCTACTATAGGAGCGACACGCGGGACGATTCTGACCGCTAGATCTCGATAGGGTTTATAAACAGGTGGTATGAATCTAGCTATTGGAAAATCATGCACAACAAGATAAATGTTTAAAAATGGTAATTATTTTAGATGAAGATAAATAACATGATGAGATGAAGATTAGTAACATGATAGAGACCAATTCCAATACATGTGAAGTATTGGTATCGAAATGACAACAACTTTCTTGAGAAAATATCGCGCACCAATTTACTTTAGATCAAATAAACGTATTCTAAGTGAAGAACGATTCCATGAAACTTAATAAATCCGTATAGTAATCCTTCCATAATCACTATTGGATAACCTGATGGTAAAAGAATAAAGAAGTCCAAGAGTTTCTGAGTTCAAGTCTCTCTAGACACTAATAGGGGTGATCATTGAAGGGATTTATCTGGTCATTCATTTCAGGATCCCAAAAAATTAGTTAAACTGTGCGTAAACTAGTTCGAATACCCAGATCATAAAAAATTAAAAAAAAAAAAACATTCTATGGTGGATACTGGTGCAAAGACTCCTTTCATAGTGTTTGAAAAGCAACTAATTCACTTAATAACTGGATTGATAAACGTTTAGACCTTGTGATTATTTTAGATGAAGATTAACAAGACCGATACCTACAAATTTAAGTTTTGTTATTGAAAACTGAGGATTTTTACAAACTGATGTCACAGTTTGATGAACTTATTTTGTAATAGGTGAAAATGACAGATAACTAGGACCAGTCAATGAAGTGCCTTCTACGAATTCATATGCAGCTATTAATTATACAAGAACCCAGTTGGCCATTTCTTAAAAGCTCCTGGTCTTGGTGCACATAAAGTCAAGCCTACAGATTTTATAGCCACTCAAATGGTGGCCATTTATGGTGTAACCTTTCTGACAACTGGTGCTGTAAAATACTTGGTCAAGTTAGTGCCCTTCCATGAATAAATGATTTCATCCATTTATAGGATTACATTACGTTGTTGGACCGACAGAGAATATATGATAAAAGACCACCACTGTGTTATTTAATTCTATGCCTGAACTCGTCAGCTGTTTGACAACCTGAAAGATACTTAATGCAAATTATAATATCATATCCTTTCAGGCGTCCAGATGTTCCTTGGACTTTTATTCGGGGACCCATTGTTAGATTAGTGGCTCTCAGGATGGTTTATAGAATAATTAAATATTCAAACTTAAATCATTGTTTGGTAGATTATTTAAAACATGACATTTTGAAAAACTATTTTAAGGTGAGATGGGTTTGATTAAATAGAATATGATCAGATTATATTCTATCTAAGGGCGGATCCAATCTATGGCCCACCCTTAAATTTTTTTAAATACTAATATGTACAATTTCTAGATTTTGATCCACATTAACAAAAATATTAATGTGTAATTAGTTTTTATTTTTATCCACCCTAACAGAAATTTTTGGATCCGTTACTGATTCTATCTTAGGTTCACAACCCAATCTCACAACTCTTGATGTGGCAGCTCGTTATTGGTCAGCTCACAAAATGATTCCGTCTACCCATTTTCGAGCAAATCAATGGCGAACTGTCACGTCGGAGGTTGTAAGAAAAAGTTTTAGACCTAGTATTATTGATTCTAAAAAACTATTTTAAGTTGAGTTGAGTTGGAATAAATGGAATAGGATAAGATTCTAAGAATGTGTTTGGTAGGGGTGTTCAAAAAAACTGGTTGAAACCAGAACCCGTGGGTACCCTGAGTTTGGTTCCGGTTCCTACCTAGAACCAATCGTCAATGGGTAGATTTCGGTTCTAAATTTTTGGAACCGTTACTGTGCGGTTCCGATTCTGGTTCCTACAATTAGGAACCGAAACCGGAACTAGGAACCAGGAACCGAGATTAATATAAAATAAAATTAAATATTAGTTGGGTTAATAAAAACTTTTGTAATGTGAATACATTTATATTTATATTTCATAACATTTAAAGTAAGTTGATTTGACTTTTGAGAATCTACCTTTACAAAGTAATGGAGTTTGTAATTTTGAATTTATAATTTGTAATTTTATTTTTGTTAACAAGTGCCAGGTGGGGGGGTATTTGTAAGTTTTTAAGGGTTTTTTTTACCATTTTAAAAACTTTTTGGGGGTCATTATAATTTTACAGGGTACCCAGAACCAGAATCGGAACCGTTGTTACAGGTTTTGGTTTTGAGTACCTAGGAACCGGAACCGTCGGTTCCGGTTCTGGTTCCAAATTTCCTTCAAAAAGTTCAGGTACCCAGAACCGAACACCCTAGTGTTTGGTATAATATTTAAAAATTATATCAGAGTTAGATAAAATGCTGAATAATTGTTTGGTACATTTTTTAAAAACATTTTTTTAAAATATTTCGATTATTTTTAACCCCCTACTTTTGTCAATTTAATTAAACAACTCCACAATAAAACTTTAAAAATTAACAAAAATACCCCCCAAAAAATGGAGCCATCAACGGCCAAATCTCTGGCCATAGATCTGGTTGGAAACGACAATATTGACCAGATTTAGCCGACATGCATCTGTCCTGCACCGATGGTCAACAGTGGTTGCTGGTTGGGGTGCTTTAGTTAATTTTTAAACTTTTATTGTGGGGGATGTTTAGCTAAATTTACAAATATAGGGGGTTAAAATGTTCTAAATTTTTTAGTTGAATAGAATGGGGTAATAGAAACAAGTACCCCCCTCTTTTCATTTTCAATAGAAAAAATCTTATTTGATTGGATTAATTTTTAGAATAATGATCCTAATAAGTAAAGAAACATATTCTGCTTTTAAATTCAAATAGGATAACATAAAAATGATTCAAAAGAGTGAAATAAACAGAGATTTGATATTTGGGATTTGAAATATACTATTTTTGATAGATACAGGAGGATTTCTTGTTGAGTTCAGAACTAAATTCAACTAGAATTAAGGAAAGCAAATCTGCATATCCTATAGCAAATTTTTTGTTATAATAAAGAAATTTGTTTTTTTATATCACTAGGAGTATCCAAGCCAGCTTATATACACCTTAATTAATCACTCGAGACATTGGAATTGCTGGCTGGATAAGAGCTCCAGTGGTTATCTCTATTAGTGCTTAAGAAAACTCAAACTTAAGAACTCATAAAACCTCATTTTGCTCTTTTATCATTAGGCAACCTAATGGTGGTCCATAACAAAGAATGTTATTTATAAATCCCAAGGTAAATTTGTGTTACTAAAGCGAATTTCTAAATAACTATTTTTAAAATTTGTATTACATTAGTTGAGTAGTTGGGATGCCCTAAACACTACTAAGGGTAATAAATTTTAGAGAGTTTCGTAATTAAATTTCGCACCTATAAAATTAGACATACCTCTCGTATAGAGAGTCAAACAATATGAACCCCTGTGTATACGGTTTGATTTGTCCTACCCTTTGTTTGCTCAATTTTATCGAATTTGTAGGGAT